TGCTCCGCTGTTTTCTGTAACCTACTGATCATCCCTCCTCCCTTCTGCCATCCAATACCCTCGCTTCCTTCCCTACCCTGCAGCGTTGTATAGCCCTTGTGGCTTAGCGCTTCTTTTTGATTATAATAATAATAATAATTTACACTTTCCTAATATTTTTAATTCTAATACGTAATATAATTAAATTTTAGTTCATGAGCTATGTGGCAGATTAAGCTGCAAATTACTCAATTACTCAATATATAGCTCCTACAAATCCTACTGAAGTCTCACCTGTCATTAAATCACTAAAAAACAAGGCAGGAGACCTAAACAACTTGCCACCACTCAAATACAAAAAAGCAGCTCATGTGCTATTGCCCATTATTGAAACTGTTTAGTAAATCTGTGGTATCTTCAACCTTCCTATCCTTACTCAAAATAGCAAGGGTTACCCTGATCCTCAAGGAGGCAATCCAACTTAATTGAATAACCATAGACCTATATCAAACTTGCTCTTACTATCTAAAATATTCGAAAAAATAACATACAATCAAATTTACTCCTAATATCTTGCAACACAATTCTGCTAGTCTGGGTTTAAGCTGAAAAAAAAAGCAAAAATGATGCAATTATACAAGTGCTCGAACTGCTGTATGCAGCACTCAAAAAAATGAATATCCTCTGGGACTTTTCGTAGATCCATGAGTAGCATTTGATACAGTGGACCATAATCTCTTGCACCTTAAACTAGAACATTTCAGGGTCAAACCCTCAAGGGAGGTTCCTTGATGCTGGTGAGGGGCTTCTTATCCAAGGGATTGGATCTGTGCTTCGGTTCCCTGAATTGAGCCTGAATGCTTTCCATATCCCCCTCATGTGCACTATAATCCTACGGGTTTAGCGCTCCCCCATGATTATAATAGTATAATAATAATATGGGGTCAAAATAGACACCAGTACATCTACACAAATGGCATTACCTCAATTACTCAGCCTGTAGTTGTTGGAGTGCCTCAGGGTAGTGTCCTGGGCCCACTCGATCCCATTTACATCAATGTCCTCCCAAACGCACCTCAACTCCTTAAACCAGTTCTATTCACAGATGACACTACTTATGTCTTCTCTCACTCAAACCCGGCTATGCTGAGAGACACTTGTTAGTGACAAGCTACTGGATAGCGTGGATAACCAACAAGCTCATTCTCAATATAAACAAAACCTACTTCATGCTGTTTAGAAACAGCTTTAAATATCCAACTTAACATATCGATTAATGATTTTCCCATTACAAGACACACTGACGGCAAATTTTTAGGTCTTCACCTTGACTGCAACCTTAAATTTCAGACCCACATCCAACATATCCAAGAAAGCATCCAAAGCAGTAGGTATCCTTTCCAAGATACATACCCCAAATGGCACTACCTGCATTATACCACTCTTATCCACTTATACCTTACCTATGGTATTTGTGCTTGGGGATCGACCACGCCCAATCACCTTGAACCATTAATAACCCAACAAAAAGAGCTAATGTGAGGATGATCACCAACTCCTGCGCCAAACATGCCCCACAGCTCTTCAGGAGCTTGAACTTATACAAAATATATGCTCATATTATTGTGCATATTATATATACAGAACATTAAACTCCAGTATAAACCCTTCTCTCAAACTTCTCCTTGACAGCTATATAAATGTCTTCGAGTCTTACTCCTACTCCCACATAATGTGTTCAAATCTATCTCCCATTCCCACGTCTTCAAATCCTCCTCCCATACCCACACGAGGTATTAAAATCTTCCTTTCACCTTTATAACGTGTTATTTATAACATGTTAGGATCTTCCATGCACAGCATGTTAAACTCTTCCTTCCACGTGTACATTGTTTAACAATGTACGCCCGCATAACTTATTAAATTCTTTCTTTTACACCCTCATATCGTAATAAAATCTTCCTCCCGTGCCCACATAACAAAATTTTCCTCCCATACATACCTAACATATTAAAATCTACCTCCTACACCCGCATAACGTGTTAAAATGTTCCTCCTATGCCCGTATATCGGTCTTCCATGGACCAGCAACAAGCATCATAGGTAGACTAAGTTACCCATTAACTTCCCTGAATGTTCTCGACTAACCATAAATGTTTATAAAAGCTTGTTCGCTAAAATGGACTGATTATACATACATATATATATATATATATATATATATTATATATATATATATATATATATATATATATATATATTATATATATATATATATTATATATATAATTATATACATAATATATATATATATATATATATATATAAATATATATATATATATATATATATATATATATATATATATTATATATATATATATATAATCACGATGTTTAAGGTAAACATAACCCTAGTCGGCTGGTAGCGCACTCAGCTCACACACTGAGGTTCGTGGTTCGATCCCCGGTACGGGTGGAAACATTAGGATGTGATCCTTAAGACACCTTCTGTCATGTTCACCTAGCAGTAAAATAGGTACCTAGATGTTAGTCGACTGGTGTGGGTCGCATTCTGGGGACAAAATTAACCTTACTTGCCCGAATGCTCTGTATAACCAGGTGCTTTCTATATAGTATATCAGTGATGTCAGCTTTGTATGGTCTGTATAAGTTGTATCATGTACTTGTAGAAATAAAGATTATTATTATTCTCATCGGGGAGGGAAAACAGGTGAGCAGGATGTATTTCACATTTTTCGCAGCTATAGACAAAGACTATCCTCTTCCCCGAGCAAGACTTCAGTGTAAGTCCTTAAGACTACAAGAAAACGCTAAGAAATAGTGACCAGACATAGGCACCTGGTGGGGAGCCTACGTCTGGTCACCAATGGAAGTCACACAGGCTGACTCACACAGGTAGAGTAACCGGAGGAACGAAGAAACACTTTTATTATCATTCACTCTATCACTAAGTTGCCAGAGAGGCGTTGGTACTACACTCCAGATGTCCCTCCAAACTGTAATATCTCCACCCACAGGTGGTGCAACATCCCCCAGTGAAAAGCAGGGGCGCCATGAGTAGGCCAAGAGACAACACAAAGTGTCAGGGACCCAAGACTGTTCAACTGCCTCCCACCATACACAAGGATTACCAACAGATCCCTGGCTGTCTTCAAGAGGGAGCTAAACAGACACCTAAATCAGTACCTGACCAGCTGGGCTGTGGTTCGTACGTCGGTCTGTGTGCGACCAGCAGTAACAGCCTGATTAATCAGGCCCTGATCCACCACGAGGCCTGGTCATGGACCGGGCCACGGGGGCGTTGACCCCCGGAACATCGTCCGGGTAAGAGTACAGACACTGTACTTCCCACCTCCAGTACACTAAGTCAGGCTAAGAGGACTGTAATATCACTTGTTGTGTCATCAGTACTGTTGTTCCTCAAGTTTGTCAGTCACTGGCAGGAAAAAAATGACATTTACTTGATGGAGAATTAACTGGCAGAGATTGATACCAGTTTGTACAGATCTGAACACAGTAGCAACTTCAAGAAGAACTGTAACAGTATGAACAGTTATCCTAAGTTATCTTATACTGCTATATATGATAATGTATATAACTGTAATTGTGTATACCAGAATAAACTTACTAATACAGTGACTGGAATAATACATAACCCGCACATAGGAGAGAGGAGTTTACGACGACGTATCGCACCGTAACGTTGTCTTGGGCACAACCTACTTCCACATTGAACAAATGTGACACTACCTATGACTGCTACACCTCTCCTCCCATACGGTTTATAAGCTGCTTCTCCGCTCATCTGCCGTATTCTACTCAAGATTGATGGACTGAACACATCGACTCAAGGTTGAGGGACTGATTACCTCATTCTCCTCCTGTTCTTCAAGTTTCTCCTATGTATGGACTGATGAAGCCACTGTGTGGCGAAACGTTTCCTCAATAAAGATACCCAAGAGTTGCACATGTGTCTAATTTATCAACATGTCGGTTCTCTGAACCATTCATCTACAAAGACTTTGTCAATGATCCAAGTCGGACCGAAACGTCGTCGTAAGCTTCTCTCTTTTATGTGCGGGTTATTTGTGTATTTGTGTATATTGTTGTCTCTCAGTCACACTTGATGATGATCAACACTTAAATTTTCCTCTGTGACACCTTAGTTGTGTCATCATCAAAATACAAAATTTAACTGTAAATGGTAACTATCCTGACCTTAAGATGCATCAGTAATGTAATATTTAAATTGCAGGAATGATGGGCACAAATTTATTTGACAATTTAATGAGAATAAAAATATCACAATTTACACAACTGAGGAATGTGTCTGGGTACTTAGTCTTCATTCTCCACATTCTTTAAATTAAAAGGATCCCTTTTAAACTTTTATAGCCGAACAGCAGAAGCTTTTGAAAGTTATCACTCACTGCAGGAATAAGTTTATTCAGGTATAGGAATACATAAATACAGTTATGTAACTTATCATACATAGGGGCATATGTGTGGTTTACCTAAGATAATTTCCATTGGGGTCCTAATAAATTAATAGCCGAATTCAGACCCGAGCGTAAAACAAATATTAGTATATTTTTACAGTTGTCTTATATATATATCAAATAACCTAAAACAGCCCAATAAAGTCAATCACTCTCTCTCTCAGAAGTTGCACCAGCCATGGTATGGCAACTATTCTTGAATAATATAGTGATTTTAAGCAGTTTGAAGACTATAACCGTCGGGGTCTTGGATCGTCTTTATAAGAGAATCCGAAATTATCTAAAAAATTATCAACCTTCAGGAGGTGGTTCCTGCCTCTATATCAACCAGCAAATTCTAACTCATTTAATTTTCGCGTTTTTCCTATTATCAGGTTGTTTATACGAAATAATGTTTGTTTGTAATAATATGTACAGTTAACTCCTATGATAATAGGATAATTTATTTTAAAGATTGGTGCAGGTTAAGGTTATTTTAGGGAAATTGAGAGCGGCAGAAATTTAACGGGTGATAAATTAAACAGGTACAAGATGGCGGGTGTTGGGGATACTCGGGATCGGGATAGCAGTTCACCTTCTCCTGTTGAGACACCGGATAATGCAGAGGAGGTCAAAGATAGAGCGGCCTTGGAGGAAGAGGCAAGTCTAATCTACCTTGTGTCCTGGGGAAACAATAATTCGCTCAATATTAGTCTAGAAATTGGCGTTGTTATGATTGTTGGAGTCTAGGCTTTGTTGACATTCAGGTATTGTGGTATATTTTCCTTGGTGCTGTGTGAGGTGGTTCCTGCTAGCCTTAATTCTGCCGAGTATATTGAATATATGAGGCTTTGGAAATGTGGGAGACAAAGTAGTGAAGTAGTTGGTATTACGTGTCAGTGTGAGATTAGTGGCTGGTGAGATAAGGGTCTTTTTGGACCTTGGAGTGAATCTTAATTTGTTAAGATAAGATAAGATAAGATTTCGTTCGGATTTTTAACCCCGGAGGGTTAGCCACCCAGGATAACCCAAGAAAGTCAGTGCGTCATCGAGGACTGTCTAACTTATTTCCATTGTGGGCCTTAATCTTGTCCCCCAGGATGCGACCCACACCAGTCGACTAACACCCAGGTACCTATTTGCTGCTAGGTGAACAGGACAACAGGTGTAAGGAAACGTGTCGAAATGTTTCCACCCGCCGGGAATCGAACCCGGGCCCTCCGTGTGTGAAGCGGGAGCTTTAGCCACCAGGCCACCGGGCCTCTGTTGCTCTTGATCTAGGGAATTGGATCTGTGCTCCAGTTCCCTGAATTAAACCTGAATACCTTCCACATCTACTCCCTCCCCACCACAGGTGCTGTATAATCCTGTGGGTTTAGCGCTTCCCTCTATAATAATCTATCTCTTGGCTGATCGCTTACCAGGAACATTATTATTATTGTAAGGTAAAAGGACACAAATGCAACTGATGTGACATTTTATTGTGGCAACGTTTCGCTCTCCAGGAGCTTTGTCAAGCCATTACAAACAGTTATTCCCTGTGATCTACAACTAGTTCTTTCTCATGTTGGTAACTTGCTATCCTGTTTGTGTCCTATGGTCAAGATTTTGTCTGACTTTTTGGGTTTTGTCCGACTCTCTCTGGGTTATCCTAAGTAACCTCCACATGTGCTGCTATATATAGCAATTTGTGTAACTGTATTTATGTGTACCTGTACCTGAATAAACTTAGTTAGTTACCTTGATTTGGAAAACGTGTTTCACCATCATCCTGTTTATAATCTTAAGTTCCTTGGGTAATATGTACTTTATTCCCAGAGCAGAATCTCGTCAGCATTACATATGGAGGAAAGTGGTATAAAATATGGACACAAATGCAGTATAATGTGATCCTTTATTGACTGTTTCACCCACACAGTGGACTTTATCAATTCACAAACAGATCTAACAGAACAGAGAGTACAGTCTCCACCTGACTTTCCATATCACTATACTCGTATGTATATACTCACGTATTCTCTGTTTAGGTAGATCTGTTTGTAGCAGTAAGGCCCAATGTGTGGGCAAAACGTAGTCAGTAAAGGATCACATTGTACTGCATTCGTGTCTTATTTTCCCATTACACATCATCCATAAGTCTATTGACATTAATACAATAAATTCACATCCATAACACAGGAAGCATGAATCTTTTGTGGAAATTACTACTTATCCAGAACTCATTGTGAATTTCTTGAACGAAGAAGCTCTCGATAATACCAAAATCCCAAATAATAATAATTATTATTATTATTATTATTATTATTATTATTATTATTTATTATTTATTATTTATTATTTATTATTATTATTCACCTGAGTTAAAACCAGAAAAACACACTTTTTTTTAAATTGGTAGTTTTGGTTTAAATGGTTTTTGCCAACCCTGTTGATGACAACTATGACAGTATTATTAGAAATCAATCTAACTTTCATGTGTTGTTTCTTTTATTGTGACAAGAGTCAGAAATCTTCCAGAGTGGATCAAATGGTAGTGGCACTGATATCACCACTAATCATTTCAGTTGGTTGAGAAAACTAAAGCATTTGAATGTTTTGGCTTCATAACGACTGGCACCACTCTGAGGGAATTGCCAGGTCACACTGTTAGTTCACCATAATGTTAATAAATTGTCCTATTTATTAGTGGGCAAGCAGGATTCACTTCCAACATCTTCACAGCCCTAACACACCCACTCACTCACTGATCTACTGAAGGTTCCATCTTTGACACAGGCACTCTGAATTATTTTTAATGAAAACTAACCTGTTGCACCAACTGTGACTTCAGTTTTCCACTCGCACCAACCCTAACCACTAATCCCTACCCCTTCGCATGCCCCTACGCTTCACAGACCCCTACCCTTCGCAGACCCCTACCCTTCGCAGACCCCTACCCTTCGCAGACCCCTACCCTTCGCAGACCCCTACCCTTCGCAGACCCCTACCCTTCGCAGACCCCTACCCTTCGCAGACCCCTACCCTTCGCAGACCCTTACCCTTCGCAGACCCCTACCCTTCGCAGACCCCTACCCTTTGCAGACCTCTTACCTTTCGCAGACCTCTTACCCTTCGCAGACCTCTTAGCCTTCACAAACTTCCTACCCTTCGCAAACCTTCTACCCTTTGGAGACCTCCTATCCATAGTGCTGTATGACCCATTGGGGTTTAGCACACAAAATGGTTATACTGCGTTATTAAATTTATGCCGTATCTTCGGATTAAGGGCCAGAAAGTAGAAGAAAAAGCAAAGACATATTTGTTTAACAGTTAGTGAAACAGTTAACCCATGGAGCTGCGTCGAAATTGGCAAATTCAAGCATAAGATGCATCCAATTTTGAAGAAAATAAACCTAAAATGCATTGTCAAATAAAAAATTTATATCTATCATCTCATTAATATTGTCATGCCAGTCACTGTTTCTGTTCTGGAGAGATGGACCTTGTTGGCACTGATGTTCGCAAAATCTGAAAGAATAAAAAGGCACAGTACCGTGACTGGAAAAATACACAAATAACTTATACATAGGAGAAAGACACTTATGACAACGTGTGACTAGTTAATGTTCCAGGTTGGACAGAAACAGTGATAAGTTCTTCTCTATGTGTGGGTTATTTGTGTATCGCCAGATTTGGTTACCAGAACCAACCATCACCAGATAACTTGCTTAAATTGTAAATAAAATAAAATTGGCCTTTCAACTTTTACACTAATAGGGTATAGTTTTTTATTCCTTGTAGCAATGTTACTTTGTGATCCACAGTAGGGCTGGGGTTAAAGCCCATAGTAAGCAAGTTGTAAAACCCCACCTGTACTGTGGTTTGTTTTCAGTCGTGTTGTTATGATTTTGTTTGTTACTTTGTAGTTTGAGTGTAGTTTACAGTACTGTATTTGTTTAATGTTAGTTTAACTTTTCTGCAGTTACAAAATATCCAGAATATTATCCACCTGACCAAGGAATACATTGATGACCTCAACTCCCGCTTCGCCGGCTTCCAGCATCCTCCTTCATTATATCTCACGGTAATATTGCTTGTACAGGGTTTGCTTTGGTTTTGTAGCAAGTCAGACTGATGCTGAAATGTTTAAATAGCAGTAATTCATTTTTTTTATAAGTGGGATTTCTTTTTAACTATTATTGTAAATATTGTATTACAAATGTTATCACTAGGAATGCCTTATAGCATTCTTTATTTTTTCATTCATTGCATTACTTGGATGATACTGTATCTTGAAAATGGTTTGTCACTGACTTGGAACTTACAGTACTTGCGTATTCCAAAAGGTGAAGTCTTGTTAAATTGGGCAGTTTAGTCCCCTGGGATCTATTTTAGGAAAAATGGAATTCACAAAAATTACAAAAAGATCCATATCAGTACAAGCAAAGTAGCATTTTTGAAAGCCCATATTACTCACAGTATTTCAAGCAAGTCTAAACTAACATATATTTAAAAATGGTATAATTGAGAGCTGAGGAGGGGTTATTGAGATGGTTTGGGCAGTTCAGAGAGGATAGATAAGAAAAGGGCAACAAAGAGGATGTATAAATCTGGAAAAGGTGGAGGATTAGAGGGTCATCCCTGCAAAGGTTGGAAGGACGGGGGTAAATGAGATTTTGAGTGCAAGGGGTTTAAGCCTCCAGCAGGCTCATGAGTGTTAGTCAATGGAGACAAGTGGTTTTTGTGACTTGACATGTGAGCAAGGTAACTTTTATGAAGGGATTCAGGGAAATTGGTTAGCTAGACTTGTGTCCTGAAGTTATGAGGTACAGAGCCTGCACTCTGAAGGTGTGGGAGATGTTGCAGTTTGGAGGCTAATTTGACTTGGCAATCCCTGCACATTTCAGGCAGGATGGCTATTGAATGAATGAATGATGGTGAATTACATTACCTTCTTTGAGTCTCCGTACCTTGGTGGGAGATGGCTGGTGTGCTAAAAAAAAAATAAAAAGTTGGGCCAATGTTTACATAATTTTTCCTTTCTTAAAATTTTGAGAACTTCCTGAATTTTTTTTTCTTTTTCTTTTTTTTTTTTTTTTTTTTTTTTTAGGAATATACAGAATTAACTGGGAAGTTGCATAGATTTGAGGCTAAGGAACAGGAGATCCTTGAGCAGCTGACTTTGAGCTCCACTTCTGACCAACCGGCTCAAACAAATGGCTGCCATGAAGACTTTTCTGAAGCCCATACTTTACCTTCCGATGACATTGAAACAAGCTTTCCAGCCTCCTCACAAATCACCAGTGAGTTTTTCCTTGCCAGTATATTCCTTTGTCTTCAGTGGTTTTATTGTGCCATATACACCTACATATCTGTAGAAGATATTACCTGATAAATTGTTCCTATTTTTCATTAGATACTGTACTTCAGTATCAGTTTTTGTGTACTGTATTATTTGATGAAATGTTCAGTATTTGAGTTATTCTAATATGTTTGGAAATTGTATGATGTAAGAGTTTTTGATCCAAGATACGTAATGAATATCATTGTAATTAACCCTTTGAGGGTCCAAGCTATAGTTCTACTTCATGAGCTCAGCTCACTCAGATAAGGTGTGAGCAGTAAATTTGGGTCTAGATATGAGAGAGTGTATCTATGTGGTAAGTGTACACCATACAAAACAAATCCTGCAGCATGCAGTGCTGCAGGATTTGTAATCAAAATAATGTCTGTGAAAGAATACAGGGGGAAATATCTTAGCTAGACTTGAGGTACTGTGAATGCAGTTAAAAAGTATGATAGGCATGTAAATTGTGGATCACCATTGCTTAATGTCCATGCCCTTCTGGAGAGGAAGCTAAAGAGTGAGTGTGCTGAATGTACTTTCTTATTTGGGTCATCCTGTCTTTTTGAGAAGCTGCTGACTGTTAAAAAAAATGTATTCATGTATTAAGAACATCAGATTGGAGGAACACTGCAGGCCAGTACTAGGCAAATCCTTCTCTAAACCAACCATTTCCACCCACTCACTTATCCAACTTTTTCCCAAAGCTATCCAAGAATTAGCTTCAGTGTACAATGCCTGCACTTTAAAGGAGGGATTTGGGATATTTGCTGTTTGGAGTGACATCTGAACTCATATCTGCATGCTTCTGCAAAGACAGTGATTGTGTGAATGACAATGAAAGTGTCTCTTTCTATTTTGGGTCACCCTGCCTCAGTGGGAGATAGCCAGTGTATTAAAAAAAAAAACTCGTCTTCTAATCAGATTCAGCCTTACACAAATAACCCGCACATAAAAGAGAGAAGCTTACGACGACGTTTCGGTCCGGCTTGGACCATTGACAAAGTCAACCTTTCTCACTCATATATTTGCTCATTCTCTTCTTAAAACTACCCAGTGTTTTTAATACACTTTTAGGTAGTAATGGTATGTGTGAAGAAGTGACGCGGTCTACTCCACAATCTCCCCTGCGGTCAGTAGTGCGGGCTCACCTACCAAATAAACAGCGTACCACTGTACAGGTACAACCTGGCCGAACGTTAAAGGATGCACTGGCAAAGGCTCTCAGCTTCCGCAAACTTTCTCCAGATGTTTGTATTGTGTATAGAAAAACAAATCCCAAGGTACATATAGATAATTAGACACTTGAGTATAATATGCTGTACTACAGTATTTTGTTGCAATAGATGGGTGAAAGACCCATTGAGAAATTATTTTTATTATGTAATAGAAATGTCTCACACAAAAAAATAAGTGGTTGTTTATTTATTTGCATTGTAAGTTAAGAATTAAAAAAATAGTATAGATTCATTTATGTATATGATTATAGCTTCTGCTGTATACTGTTTTCTAGGTACGGATGTCTTGGGATTCGGATATTGCGATGCTGGAAGGAGAGGAGATTGTTGTGGAGGTACTGGAAAAATTTCCTGTCACAACCTCCATATCCCACAATTTTGTAAGTTTTCTGTTGAAGAATATTGACTTTTAAAAATATTAACTGTTTTAAATGTGTATGTAGTATACAGTGCAATAGAGGTTTACTAGAGTGTAATTATATTCACAGTTTGCTGTTTGTATTTAAATTTTTCCTATTTGTGAAGAATTTTGTTTTACATATTGTCATATTTAATCAGTCTTCTTGATTTCTTTTGATATTCATAATATTATATATGTACTGGATCTAGTTTTCCAGAACGTCTTTGATAAAGTTTCTTAGCAAAGACTTTTTGCAAAAATGAAGGCAAATAATACAGACACTTGTACTAAGCTGGCCTGAATACTGGTTATCCTGATACAGGTAGGGAGTAGCTAGTGGAAAGGCACCAACTGGCAAGATGTAACAGGTGGCATGCCACAAGAGTCAGTCTTAGGACCAGTTCTTTTCTTGACATAACTGTACATAATTGACATTGACACTTGGCTATGCTGTACATTATCAACATATTTAAATGACCCAATACTAGGATGCAAAAGTCACAACATTTAAGCATCAGTAATTGTATGAACACTAGGAAGTAATGGCAAATAAATTTCAGTGTTTTTAAGTACAAAGTTAGAGATACTGGAAAAAATTAAAAGGTAAACCATTGAATGAAAGCCATTCACTAATGAAAAAAAAAAAAAAAAAAAAAAAAAAAGACCCTAGGAATAAGCAAATGTAATGAGAGAGTTGAAAATGCTAATAGAATTTTAAGCTTTAATGGTAGATCAGTCAAGCTTTGTATAAAAGTTATCCTCTCTACAATTTTAGATGCGTGTTGTATTATTCTTTCCAGGAAAACAGCTGCATACCCGACACCTTGAGATATTTAGTTTGCTAGAGTCAACCAGTATTTGCACAGCAGACTTGTATGCAATTCTCACTGCTATTATTCACATTATGACCATGTCTACCTTGTTATTCATAGTTGTTTTGGATTACCAAAGTGTGTTACAAGCTTTTCAGAAATTTGACTCCCTTCATCCCCTTTGTTCTTCTTGCACAACATTGGATGTCGTACTTCTAGTCAATGTAAAAAAGGTTTTCTTTTTGCTGGGTTCCTGGACACTGATGTTTAGGGCAGTAAACACAGACTCAGCCACACAGCTATTCATGAATGCTCAATTTCCTGTAAGGAAAATTTTACAATTTTTACAATGTAGATATTGAATATTTTCAGATTAGGAGAACATTCTTTTCCTTGGCGTTCTGTGATAATTGTCGAAGACTTCTATTCCACGGGTTTGTATGCCGTACATGTGGCTATCGCTTTCATCAACGGTGTTCTGTAGGAGTACCAACATTATGTCAACAGGATCAACGCATTACCAACAATATTTACCAACAGTAAGTTTATATCTTAAATTATTTATGAAGACCTTTTTCTAATTCCACAAGCAGGACTTTGCTCTATAATCAGTCTTGGTGCTCTCTTTCTGATGCCTTCCATTTCCATTAAGTTGCACTAATCTACATTTAATTCATTAATCCAATTTTTTTAAATATTTCCTCACTTCAATGTGTGTTTCTTCAAGTCTAGTGCCAAGGATTTAGTCATGAAAATAAGTAACTTTGTATATAACATATTTCTTCTTTCAACAACTTGGCCATCTCCCACTGAGGCAGGGTGACACAAAAAAGAAAGTAACATTTTTACCATCATTGAACATACTCACCATCATTCACACATATCACTGTCTTTGCAGAGGCACCCAGATATGACAGCCAATATCCCAAACTCCTTAAAAGTGCATGCATTGTACTTCCCACCTCCAGGACTCAAGTCCAGCAAACTGGTTTCCCTGAATCCCTTCACTTGTAGTTTGTCTTTCTCACACTCCAACAGCTCGTCAGGTTTCAAAAACCATTCGTCTCCATTCACTCTTATCTGACATGCTCGCACATGCCTGCTGTATGTCCAAGCCCCTTTAACACAAAACCTCTTTCACCCCTCTCTCTCCATCCTTTTCTAGGACGACTCTTACCCTTCCTCCCCTCCACTATAGATTTATTCACACTCTAAGTCATCCTATTTTGCTCCATCCTCTCTAAATGACCAAACCACCTCAACAATCCCTCCTCAGCCCTCCAAATAATACTGTTAATAGCTCCACATCTAGTTTCCACACTGCGAATTCTCTGCATAATATTTACACCGCACATTGTCCTTAGATACGGCATCTCCATGCCTCCAGCCTCCTCTATGCTGCAGCATTTACAACCCATGCTTCACATCCATATAAGATTGTTGGTACCACTATTCCAACACTTAATTTGTATCAAAGTCCTGGGAAGACCCTATTTTTTTTACTTTTTCTTCCGTTTTTGCAACATATTGGACCGCTTGATTTACAAAAGCATAAGCACTGTACTGTGTTGTACCATACCATATAAACATGTCACAGAAAAATCATAATTAAATACATTAATGAATTGTCGTATCTGCACATCTCTGGCAAGACAGTAATGGAGTGAATGATGGTACAAGTATTTCTTTTTTGGGGGGGAGGGGGGTCACCCTACCTCAGTGGGAGACAGCCAGTGTGTTACTGTAGTTCTTCTTTTTAATTTTTTCTTCTTGCAATGATGATAAAAAATATTTTTCAACTCCTTCAAAAAAGTTTGAATGTCAATAAAGAATGCTAGACATTACATAAATTCTTCATGACAATTTAAAAATTTTTAAACCTTGTTATTTAGATTTATCATTATTCACATGTAGGATTTGTAGTACAGTATAGTAGGTAGTAGGTTGGTAGAAGCAACCACCCGGGAAGTACTCCGCCCTGCCAGATGACTGTAAAAAAACCCTGTAACTGTTTGCTGATGGTAGGATTGCTTTTTCTTTTTCTGCCCATAAACATGCTAGATAACGGGGATTCTTGCTATTCCTACTTAACTTTGGTCACACTTCCAGACACGCCATACTATTTATCATACATTAGGTTTTTTTTTTTTTTCTAAATAGCTTTTTGTTCTTCTTTATTTCTTCTTTTGTCAAGGGGGAAGGGGAAAAAAATCTTTTCCGTAAGCCTGGTGTCGTAGAGGCGACAAAAATGGGGGAGCAATGGGCTAGAAACCCCCTTCCCCGTGACATTTACAAAAAAAGAGAAAAGAAAAACTTTAAAAAAATGGGATCTTAAAATGTGCGTGGATGTAGTGCGGATGACAAGAAACAGATGTTTGCGATTTTATAAATGAAAAGAATTTGGAGCCCGGCCCCTAAGCGAAACAAAGTAAAGGGGGGTAGGGGATTTTCAGGGGGGGGAAATAAAGGGGGTTTAAATGGATATTTAGAGAGTTAGAGCAAAAATGGGTACAGTAATGTTTAATGATCATTATGGAAAGGGGAAAAGGAATTGAATGTGTAAAATTTAAGAATTATGTGGATTAAAATAAAGGTGGATGCGGGAAAGGGGGCATAATAAGCGGTTGCACTGGGAAAAAGGAAAGCAGAGGAAGAGAGATTTTGGAGATGTTTTGTGAATGTATAGGGCCTTTGAACCAAATGAGAGGGAAAAATTTTGGTAGGGGACCTGAAAGCTAAAGTAGGAAAACTTTAGAGAGGGGGTGGAGGTAAGTTTGGGGGGCCAGGGGTAAATGATAAGGAGCCCTTTTATTGAACTTTGTATAGAAAGGGGGTTTAGTTAAGGTAAAACATATTTTAAAAAAAAGAGGATAAATAAGTATACAAGATAGAGTAGGGCGAAATGACAGTTTGTTGGAATGTATTGTAGATAAAAGACTGTTGGTAGACTTCGGGTGTACTGTTTTTTGAGGGGCCAAGATTATCAGATCACTTTTGTTTAGCTACACTGAGAGTAAAAGGTAGATGGGATACAAGGTAATAGAAGTATCAGGGGAAAAGAGAGGTGAAGGTTTAAAACTAAAGAGGAGGCGTTAGGGTAAAATATAAAAAGCTATTTGGGGGTAGATGGGCTAAAAGAGCATAGGCAATGGGGTCGAAGAGGTATGGGGTAGGTTTAAAAATGTGTGTTTAGTGTGTTCAGCAGAAGTTTGTGGTTACAGGAAAGTGGGTGCGGGAGGGAAGAGGAGCGATTGGTGGAATGATGATGTAAAGAGAGTAGTAAGGGAGAAAAAGTTAGCATATGAGAAGTTTTTACAAAGTAGAAGTGATGCAAGGAGGGAAGAGTATATGGAGAAAAAGAGAGAGGTTAAGAGAGTGGTGAAGCAATGTAAAAGAGAGCAAATGAGAGAGTGGGTGAGATGTTATCAACAAATTTTGTTGAAAATAAGAAAAAGTTTTGGAGTGAGATTAACAAGTTAAAAGCCTAGAGAACAAATGGATTTGTCAGTTAAAAAATAGGAGAGGAGAGTTATTAAATGGAGAGTTAGAGGTATTGGGAAGATGGAGGGAATATTTTGAGGAATTGTTAAATGTTGATGAAGATAGGGAAGCTGTGATTTCGTGTATTAGGACAAGGAGGAATATCATCTTGTAGAGTGAGGAAGAGCCAGTTGTGAGTGTGGGGGAAGTTCGTGAGGCATTAGGTAAAATGAAAGGGGGTAAGGCAGCCGGGATTGATGGGATAAAGATAGAAATGTTAAAAGCAGGTGGGGATATAGTTTTGGAGTGGTTGGTGCAATTATTTAATAAATGTATGGAAGAGGGTAAGGTACCTAGGGATTGGGAGAGAGCATGCATAGTTCCTTTGTATAAAGGCAAAGGGGATAAAAGAGAGTGCAAAAATTATAGGGGGATAAGTCTGCTGAGTATACCTGGTAAAGTGTATGGTCGAGTTATTATTGAAAGAATTAAGAGTAAGACAGAGAATAGGATAGCAGATGAACAAGGAGGCTTTAGGAAAGGTAGGGGGTGTGTGGACCAGGTGTTTACAGTGAAACATATAAGTGAACAGTATTTAGATAAGGCTAAAGAGGTCTTTGTGGCATTTATGGATTTGGAAAAGGCATATGACAGGGTGGATAGGGGGGCAATGTGGCAGACGTTGCAAGTGTATGGTGTAGGAGGTAGGTTACTGAAAGCAGTGAAGAGTTTTTACGAGGATAGTGAGGCTCAAGTTAGAGTATGTAGGAAAGAGGGAAATTTTTTCCCAGTGAAAGTAGGCCTTAGACAAGGATGTGTGATGTCACCGTGGTTGTTTAATATATTTATAGATGGGGTTGTAAGAGAAGTAAATGCGAGGGTCTTGGCAAGAGGCGTGGAGTTAAAAGATAAAGAAACACACACAAAGTGGGAGTTGTCACAGCTGCTCTTTGCAGATGACACTGTGCTCTTGGGAGATTCTGAAGAGAAGTTGCAAAGATTGGTGGATGAATTTGGTAGGGTGTGCAAAAGAAGAAAATTAAAGGTGAATACAGGAAAGAGTAAGGTTATGAGGATAACAAAAAGATTAGGTGATGAAAGATTGAATATCAGATTGGAGGGAGAGAGTATGGAGGAGGTGAATGTATTCAGATATTTGGGAGTGGACGTGTCAGCGGATGGGTCTATGAAAGATGAGGTGAATCATAGAATTGATAAGGGGAAAAGAATGAGTGGTGCACTTAGGAGTCTGTGGAGACAAAGAACTTTGTCCTTGGAGGCAAAAAGGGGAATGTATGAGAGTATAGTTTTACCAACGCTCTTATATGGGTGTGAAGCATGGGTGATGAATGTTGCAGCGAGGAGAAAGCTGGAGGCAGTGGAGATGTCATGTCTGAGGGCAATGTGTGGTGTGAATATAATGCAGAGAATTCGTAGTTTGGAAGTTAGGAGGAGGTGCGAGATTACCAAAACTGTTGTCCAGAGGGCTGAGGAAGGGTTGTTGAGGTGGTTCAGACATGTAGAGAGAATGGAGCGAAACTGAATGACTTCAAGAGTGTATCAGTCTGTAGTGGAAGGGGGGTGGGGTAGGGGTCGGCCTAGGAAAGGTTGGAGAGAGGGGGTAAAGGAGGTTTTGTGTGCGAGGGGCTTGGACTTCCAGCAGGCATGCGTGAGCGTGTTTGATAGGAATGAATGGAGACAAATGGTTTTTAATACTTGACGTGCTGTTAGAGTGTGAGCAAAGTAACATTTATGAAGGGGTTCAGGGAAACCGGCAGGCCGGACTTGAGTCCTGGAGATGGGAAGTACAGTGCCTGCACTCTGAAGGAGGGGTGTTAATGTTGCAGTTTAAAAACTGTAGTGTAAAGCACCCTTCTGGCAAGACAGTGATGGAGTGAATGATGGTGAAAGTTTTTCTTTTTCGGGCCACCCTGCCTTGGTGGGAATCGACCAGTGTGATAATAAAAAAAAAAATATAAGAAAGAGGAAAGATAATTACTGGATAGTCATTTTAAATAAGTACAAGTGTCAAACATATATATTTTTTTTTTTTTTTCAACAAGTCGGCCGTCTCCCACCGAGGCAGGGTGACACAAAAAAGAAAGAAAATCCCCAAAAAGAAAATACTTTCATCATCATTCAACACTTTCACCACACTCGCACATTATCACTGTTTTTGCAGAGGTGCTCAGAATACAACAGTTTAGAAGCATACACATATAAAGATACACAACATATCCCTCCAAACTGCCAATATCCCAAACCCCTCCTTTAAAGTGCAGGCATTGTACTTCCCATTTCCAGGACTCAAGTCCGACTATATGAAAATAACCGGTTTCCCTGAATCCCTTCACTAAATATTACCCTGCTCACACTCCAACAGATCGTCAGGTCCCAAGTACCATTCGTCTCCATTCACTCCTATCTAACACGCTCACGCACGCTTGCTGGAAGTCAAACATATATCTACTTCAAAAATAACTATTATTAAACAAAGGTGATTTGAGTACTATTAAGTAAAAATCATTCTTACCTGATGTTTTTTATTAAAAGTGAAGAACAGGTATAGGTGTGTAGCAGGCTTTTCTTTTGACATTATCTTGTTCTGTGTAGAACATAATGAAGTTGTATATAGAGCTTCCTCTGCAACTGTGTTTTTTTTTCTAATTCCTGCAAAAGTATGCCTTTGTATTTGCGCTGAAAATGTCGTTTACAATACAGTTTAAACCCTAGCTCACACGTATAATCTGCACCATTTGATGTTAGGCAGGAATGGAATGTTTTTAGAAGAATTTAAGAATGCTGGCTTGGTTGTGAGAAAACCCTTAATCACATGCTTCCTAATATTTCAGAGTTATTTTTCCCAAAATAATGTCAAACATATAGTATGAAGGTTATGAAAAATCTAATTTTGTTTTCAGTTTATTAGCATCTCATCAAGATAACCCAGCAGGAATATTAACAACTACGAGTTGGGGAGGACCTCCAGGGGTTCAACACCCCCTCATAGGCCCATACCATGGTCCCTATGGTGGTCATTATATGGAACCTTACCGGAGTCAGTATTCTGTACACTGTGGTGGTGGGGGTGGAGGAGGGCAGGCACCACCCACCCTTCCCCGACCTGCCCCGGCACCTCTGGCTCCCCGTGATCGCTCATCCTCTGCACCCAATGTCTGCATTAACTTGGTCAACCCTAGCAACCCCTCAGATGCTGTGTCCCTAGCAGAGTTTGCACATAGGATGGGCAGGAATTACAATCCTACAAGTCCAGGTTTGTGATTGATTTGATTTTAAATATATAATTAATTAGAACTAACCGTAAGCAAGTTTTGATTATGCTGTAATAATAAAACAATTTTTGCATTAAAGTCAGTGTGTTAAATTTAAGACAAATTTGTTACATGAAATAGGATAAAATTATAATATGAATGCTGAATAATTGAATTGAAATTTTTATATAAAGTAAAAAATTATAGAAACCTTACTAGTATTTTCATCTTATACAGTGGACCCCCACATAGCGACCTTAATCCGTGCAAGACGGCTGGTTGTTATGCGAAATGTTTGGTATGCGAATGAATTTTCCCCATAAGAAATAATGGAAATCAAATTAATCCGTGCAAGACACCCAAAAGTATGAAAAAAAAAATTTTACCACCTGAAATATACATTTTCCTACACACAAAGAGAAGGATACATGTACAATAGTAGAGTAGTACATGCACAATATATATTGTGCATGTACTACTCTACTAAATGAAGAATAAATGACACTTACCTTTATTGAAGATGCAGCAATGACTGATGAGACACTGTGTCCTGGGAGTGCCTTTTCCTCCTGAGTACTGTAGGTCCTGTTTGGCATTTTCTTCCAGAACAGGCCTTATCACACTGTGTATGCCACTACGATTCTTAAATCTCTCAAACCAACCTTTGCTGGCTTTAAATTCACCAATATGAGCACTAGTTCCAGGCATTTTTCCCTGTTCACCTGGGTGTTAGTCGACTGGTGTGGGTTGCATCCTGGGAGACAAGATTAAGGACCCCAATGGAAATAAGTTAGACAGTCTTCGATGACACTGACTTTTTTGGGTTATCCTGGGTGGCAAATCCTCTGGGGTTAATTGTTTCTTGGTATTCTCAATAAGCCACACCAACAACGGTGCTACAGCAGCAGCAGCAGCTGACGGTGGTACAGCAGCAACAGACGATGCTACAGCAGCAACAGACGATGCTACAGCAGCAGCAGACGATGCTACAGCAGCAGCAGACGATGCTACAGCAGCAGCAGACGATGCTACAGCAGCAGCAGACGATGCTACAGCAGCAGCAGCAGCTGACGGTGGTACAACAGCAGCAGCAGCTGTACCACCAATAGTAGCGATGGTTGATTGGGTTTAATTATACAACCTGGCCAGCTCGGAGACACGCACTCCACTTTCATACTTATCAATGATCTTTTTCTTCATCTCTATAGTAATTCTCACCCTTATTGCTGTAGGGTTGGCACTAGAAGCTTTCTTGGGGCCCATGGTCACTTATTTTCCAGAAAAAATCACCAAAAACACTGTAATAATACGAAATGTTCCGATTGTATGCTTGGATGTTACCGCGGAGGCTGGCTGGTAAACAATGCCACCGGCGGAACACGTGAGCGTGGCTCAGGCCGCACATTGGACGCGTCTCGGACGAAGGGCGGTGAGCGGGTTTTTGGGCGGTATGCGAGGCAAAATTTTTGCGAAAAAGCAAGCGGTATGCGGATTGTACAGTATGCGATGCGTGCGGTATGCGGGGGTCCACTGTATATTTGATTTATTTATAAATAAGTGTTACTCATATTGTTTGGTAAAAAATTTATTTTGATACCAATATGAGGTTTTTGGCACTTTTAAGATCTTCAGCGATACTAAATTTTTGTAATTATGTTGGAATTGAAGATAGAGTAAATTGGGAATTGAGATAAGAAGAGAGAGTTTAGGTGAGGCAGTGCTATGACTGAGTAGATACGAGGGCATTGCAGAGGTATTGAAAAGAAAAAAATGAGGTAGCATGGTAGAAGGTATAGAATGAAGGAGCTGATCATGTAATTGAAGGAGAGGGGAGTTTAAGAAATCTACCAGGAGAATGATTGCAATTTGTGTGCACTGATTTTTTTTTTGGGGGGGGGGGGGGAGAAGGTTATCATGAATAGAATAGTTAGGTTCTGTTGGTTGAATCAGCTTAATGTGCACAATGAAAAAGATGAGTTACATTTCAATTTGGGAGCCACTCAATTTTAAATACAGCAAAACCATGCAAATTGCAGTTGATATAGTTGCTCATTGTATGTCAGATAATTTAACACTGATACAAATGGCTCAACTCTGTCAGTTCACTACCAGTATTGACAAATTTTTGTATTACTTAACCTATAGTGATTACAGAAGTGTGCTAAAAAAAAAGTTTTGCTAGCCCATTAACTGCAGAACGAAGATCAACACAATGAACACTAATACCAACAGAACATTCTTAAGGGGCACATCAGTTCCCCTGTTTTCTAATATGTTATTTTTCCCCTATAATCCGCCTTGTCCATAATTACTATCGCATTTGCTTTGTCTACTTTTGTAAGGTGAAGTCTAGGATATTTCCTTAATTCATGGTATAACTTAACAGATCTTTGAGGACAATTGTATTGCACAGGTCTTAGTAAAGCTCAGTAATGCGATAGTAATTATGTAATGCGATAGTAATTATGTAATGCGATAGTAATTATGGAGAATGTAAATTATAGTGGAAAAATAAACATGATATTAGGAGACAGGGAAACTCGTGCGCCTCTTAAAAATACCAACTTTTAATGTTTTACAGGACCAACTGATGAACCTTTTTGGATAGCTTCTATACTAAACTTATAGGAAAGGCTTTATGTTTCTTTTTTCTTTTGTGGACATCAGACCCTTTTTTTTTTTTTTTTTACACCATCTTCCTTGCAGGTGAGGGGCTCTTGATCTAAGGAATTGCAATTCTCCTCTCCTTCCTCTGATTGCTTTCCATTCTTCCTGGTGTATGACCCCTATGGGCTTAGCACTTCCCCCATATTTCAGTTTGACCACCTCATACTGTGAAAAAGTTAGATAATAAAGATGCACTTATATTAACAAACAAAACTATAAACTCCCTATTTTATTATAGATGTTAGATACAAAACTCCAACAATAGAAAAGATTATTAAGGTAAATAAAAGTTGTCAGTATAAGTTATTTAGGCGATATTTGTTTTGTCAGTTCATTACCACCGATCCCCATACCAGCAAAACCTAATCAGTTTAATTTTTAACCAGAAGATCATTGCTTATGTATTAGGCAGTGATGGTATTGTGTATGTTCACGAGAGTAGATCATAGGTGAGTAAGGCGTTGAGTTTAAGAAAAGATGTAGTTTTAGGAGACCTTTAATACATAAGACCAAGTGTAGCAATACGTGTTATTAAAATTTAAGAATAAATTTTGAACTCAGTTTCCTGCATGTAATTGTCTCTTACTGAGCTTCTCAATAAGCTTTGCTCTATTTTTGTATTCTGTTTGTATGAATAAATGAAGCTTACTTATTTATATCAATTAACTATACTGCTTTTCCACACCAGGCAGATTAAAGTATATTTACCAGTGTTCGAATTATGCTGGAAACCTTTATCTTGTAACTGAAGAAAGCAGTGCATGTATATGTGTGTATAGGATGAAAACCAGGACAGTGTTGATGTTTCTCACTCTTCTAATCATGGATGTTTATTTGTAGGTCATATCTCAGAAGTTATTTCTTTTGTTCATTCATCAATAGATAAATAGTCATTGGTTATAGATTGATCCCTTGGCTTACAACTACTGCAGCTGAAGGTGTGTCTATTGATAGTCCTGTTAAAACACTATTTGTCAAAGCAATTTTTTTTTTTTACCTTAGCTGGCTGACGTATTTTCATTTTTTTTTTTGGGGGGGGAGGGAGGTTATATGCCAACTATCTTATCTTCTATTATAGCATGGCACTGTAATTCTCTTAAGTATTGTATTATTGCCTAGGATACAGATAGGTGGCCTCTGATGTCAGTGGAACCTCTGTTGTATAAAGTATATAGTTGGCAGTTCCTCTTCTATGTTCTATGTAATAGTAATCCCCAGATCTGTTTCAGTTCCCCACCCCTCTCTCTCTCTTGCCTTTATTTAATAAGATTGTGTTTGTTTCCCTCTAGTTGGCTTTCACTTCACCCCAAGCACAGTTGGAAGGAGGAGGTAAAAAGGCTCTAGGTTCTAAGGGTTTGAGAACCCAGCAGACTTGTGACTGTGGTAGATAGGAGTGAAGGGAGACAAGTGGGTTTTAATGGCTATACAGTGTTGGAGTGTGAGCAGGGTAAATTTTAGGAAGAGACTCGGGAAACTGGTTAAGTGAACTTGAATCCTGGAAGAAGGAAGGACAGTACCTGCACTCAGGATGGGTTGGGGATATTGCAATCAAAGGTTATCCTAACTGATGTCAGCACATTTCTGGGAAGATTCTGTTAAATGAATGATGGTAAATGTGTTTCTTCTTTGGGGTCACCCTGTCTTGGCAGGAGATAGCTATTGGGGTTAAAAAAAAAAATAAAAATTTCCATCATCCATTTATTACTTCGTTTCCTCAGTTTATCCATCTTGTAGGGATTTAGTCATTTTTAATATTTATTTTGCAAAGATTTTTCCTTCATTCACAAATATACAGTATCTTTTTATTCCCTAAAGAAATTTGATACGTACATTTTTGGGCTAAGGAATGATACTAGTGGCATTTTCCAGTGAATTTTTTTCATCAGTTTTTAAATTGTCTTTTCAAATAGGTAAATTTCTCATCCAATGTAATATTTGTAGTTTCTATCTTTCATAAGGGAATTCTGTCAATAGCATTTTGAAATATAAATAATTGAAATCTGCCTATCTATTTATTATTATTTATTCTGTCCTTGTAGCTTAATAGTTTTGAAACACGTACAGGATTTTGCTGAAAGGAAACGAAACTAATAGTAACAGGTGCTTGCTTAGCAAGCATATTGCCTAATTTTATTTTAAATTGTTTTCTATCATGATGTGTGTAAAGATTGAGAATTATTTCAGCAAGCTTATACTAGGTAAAGGAAGGAAGGAAAGCAATATAAAAGGCAATGGAACAAGTTAGGAAAACATTTAAATGAACAGACTAATGTGACAGGGTATTATGGAAGTGGAGGTAAGAACAGGAGACCGTCACATGCATACTTCAAGTGAA